TAGCTACTATAATTGTAGCTATTTAGCCATAATAACTGACATTACAACAAATAAAAATGTGCATTGATTTACAAATGTTCCAACTGTTTTCTTCAGGGCTGCTCTGCATCAGCACCAACCCATCATTAGCTGGACTGATGTGCCGTCCTGGATGTGAGTTTGGACCAGACATGGTGGAGCAAGACTTGAGCTAAATATCTTTCGCAAGGTATGTACTAAGCCTAAAACATTTGTGGATCTTAAAAGACATTATCTGCCTTTTATTTTGGTCCCTTTCTGACTTTAAATAGTTTTGCATTGTAGCAGTAAGTCTGACTGGTGACGGGGTCTTTAATATCGGTTGTACCGGATTATTAGAGGTTGTGAATTTACCAGACTGCTAGTAAATTTAGCACATTACCACAGAAATGCAGTTTTAAAAATAAAAAAAGAAAGAAAATTTCCTTTGATTATTTATTTTTTAATAAATCTGGAGTCGTGTCCAACATTTTTCCAAGTGTGTACTGGTGTTACCAACACTTAGAAAAATGTCTCCACCCACTCCAGATATTGAACTATCTCCATGTTCCAGCCTCTACAAACGTCTTCTGTCTGCTCTGCTCATCAGCTGTAGAAAGATGTTTCACCGTCAGATGTATAAAGATGTTCCACCATCAGCTGAATGTTTCCAACAGCTGGCTGGTTCTGAGTCATGCTGCATGGCTGCATTTTGAGGAGCACAAAATTTGTACTTTTTCACAGAATCTGAATTTATTTTTAGCAAATTCTGTAACAAACTGATTTTGAGGAAATCTCACAACTTTACGTCTGGGTTTGGTTGAATTTGACCAAACCAAAAGTCACATATGAGAAGTTCAAGGACCATCAGAAAGTTGAAAATCTGATTATTCTTTCTGTTTTTCAGTTTTTGGCTAAAAACAAGTTGTGTGATTTTGACAATATAGAGAAGTCAACATGCCGTTCAACTCACCGGCGAGTTTTGGGGTTCAGAGGGTTAAAATTAAACTTTATTAAGGACACAGCTAGAAGTAATGAAATAGAAAAATAAAAAGATAATTTAAAAAAAAACAATAATAAATGTATTATTATTATTTAAGGAGACAGAAAAAATGTTGTGTTTAGTCTTTAAAATAATACGCTGAGATTGTGAAAGATGTGAAGCTGACTTTAAGTTTTCGTAATCTCTATTATTTTCTCTGGATTTCAAACAGGACGAGAAGAAAACGTCACTGAAGATGGACGACGGGAACACGTGTGGTCCGACGGACAGGAAAAGGATGAACGCCAACACGGTGTGGCAGTGGCGCATCATGCACGTCAGGAAATACTCAAGAAACCCGGATCCCTTCTACTACAGCAACACGATGGGTCTGGACTTCAACGTTGGTTTACCTACAAATAAAAAACTGGACCCACAGTCGGTGACAAACGGAGTCATTCTGGAGGTCTGTGACTTTGCCAAAACTGTCAAAAAGAGCAGGAGACATTTTGCGACGAGCATCCTGGAGAACAATTACGACCTCGGTTTGGAAAACGAGCAGCAGCGGATTCATTTCACGAGTCAGCTGCTGCACAAACTCAAAGACCTCCGAAGGAAACCGCCGACGGAGGAAGTTTTCCCTCTTTTTGAAACGTATCCTAAACCCGAGTGTCCCGGCAGCAAAAAAACTAAACGTCAGGTGGAGACGCGAGTGGTGGAGGTGGTGGAGGACAGCGACCCGGAGGACGTGTTCATATGTTCACAAGCTCCTTCTCAGGAAGTGATGGAGGACGTGGACGAACCGCTTCCTGATAACGTGGAGGATACAAAGCCGGAGCCGGCAGAAAACAACAAACCGGACGTTCTTCCCTTCCGCTTTCCTTGTTGCGAGGCAATCGGTTTGAGCTTTGACGCGGAGTTAAAACAAATCCTCGACCCGGGTTCCCTGACGGAGGCAGCGATGTGGGAGCTGGTGGACTTCACCATCGTGCTGACGGCGTCCTACCGCTCCATCATCCTCGCCGTGTTGGACCACAACTTTAACCTCAATCTCAAAAGCCAGCAGGGAAAAAATCGAGTTTGCTTCCTCGTGTCACAGCTGCTGAAAAGGAGGAAACAGCTTCACAGCACCGGCATCAAAATAAGCTCCAAGTTTCAAAACGAGCCGTTTTCCTTCCAGTCGAACCCCCTGAAGAGATCCCACGGGACAAGTGAGTTCGAGGAGGTGGCAAAAAGAAAAATGTTGGATTTCAAAAGTGACGTAAGCTGGCTGCAGGGAGACAAAATGCACAAACATGTTCTGACGAATGGACCAAACAAATGGGACGTGGACCAGGAGGAGATGGTCACGGAGAGCAACATGTGGCGGCTGCGTGTTAAACGTGTTCGACAAATCCTCCTTGAGCTGGACATGGAGTACTGTCCGTTCTTCAGGCCCAAGAGAATCGACCTGGAGTTCAACATTGGCTTCAGGCCCGAGCGATACCTCAGCGCCGAGTATCTGACGAACTCAGTCCTCTATAAAGTGGCTCGATTTGCTTTAGCCATGAGCTCGTCGCAGCGGGAGTTCATCGTGGAGATCCTGGAGAACAACTTCAACTTAGGCCTGCAGACCAAACGCCAGAAATTTACGTTTGGATGTAAAGTCATGAGCAAAGTGAGACGGCTGAAAAACTGCGAGGACGCCGTGGTCACGTTTTCAAGAGAGGTTTTTGAACTTCCTCTTTCAACGTCATCCGGTAGTTCTGTGAATCAGAGCAAGAACAGCGTCCGTCCTGAACTCGGCAGCAAAGCGAGGACGAAGGAGCGAGAAGCTGCTTCCACCAGCGCTCCGGATTCACGCACCGAAGCCGACCCGGAATCTAAACCTGATGCACACGCTGAAACTCAACCTGACTCTGGCACGAAACCGGATTTATGCCCCAAATCTGAACCTGATTCTGAATCGGAACCTGATTTTGAGGATGAACCTGATTCCCAGAGCAGCGTGGAACTTTACCCTTTCTGCAGGGAGATCGGTCTGAGTCTGCACGAAAACTCCAATCGATCCAATCGCATACTCGACATCAACAGACTGACCAAAGGAGCGATCATCGAGGTCGCGGACTTTGCCGAGCAGCTGTGCGGAACGTTTGAGCAGATTTGTCTCGACGTCCTCAAGCACAACTTTGACCTCAACTTGAAAAGTGTCGATTCTGAGCTTTTCAGAAAGATTCTGGCTCATATTCCTGCTGTCATTACAGAAAGAAACCTCGCCACCTGCGTGAACCACGCGAAAATAAAGCCAAAAAGAAATGATGAGTCAATACTCATGAAGCTGGACTTTAAGAACAGCCCGGATGTAGAACCGTGCAGTGCCGGTTCTGTCCAGGCAAACACAGTTCAAAATGTTAGCAGTTCGACTGACGTTGAGCAAATTAACGACCCGAACTTGCTGCTGTGGAAGTTGCGGACGAATCATATCCAGCAGATCGTCTCGGTGCCTCATGGAGAACGTTGTCCGCTCTATTCCTTCCCCAGATGTAAAAAGTTAGGCATCGACTTCAACGTCAGCTCTGGACTCAAACAGAACCTTGATCTAAAGTTGCTGACCAATGGCGTCATGGTGGAAGTCAACGCCTTCGCCGCAGCACTGCAGTCGGCCACCAAACATTTCATGGCGGAGATAATAGAGCATAACTTCCACCTGCGTTTCAAAGGCGAGCTTCATCGCAGCGCCTTTGCAGAGCGACTCCTGAGAGAAATTCTGTTGCTCAAGTCGGCGAGATCCACCGTCCCAAGACAGAACATGACTTATCACCTCCCAGACCCGAGATTCATAGAGGAAGAGAGTCCGTCCTGCCCCAAATGCTACCAAGACAGAAAATACAAGCGTTATCCGGCAGAAACTGCTCGATCTGTGCGTCCACACGTTGTGACCGACGCCGTCTCTGCAACACAGCAACCCGCGAAGCATCCAGCGGAGGAGACGATAACGAGCAAATACAACAACTGCAGAAGAATCGGTTTGCACCTGTGTTTGGACAAACAGCGCCGAAAACACAAACTCGACCCGGATCTGCTCACATGCAAGGTGATGATGGAGGTGTATGTTTTTGCCCGAAAACTGTCCGGAACAAAACACAAGATCGTGAACGACATCCTCGAGCACAACTTCAACCTGGACATGCAGAACCAAGACATCAATCCTTCGACGCAGTACTCCAGAATCGCGGCGCTCAACGGAAGCCTGGCCTGGTTCAACGAAGTGTTTGTTGCTCAGCCGTGCAGCCACAGAGATCCCTCATCCTCGAGTTCCCGGCAAGATCTCCCCGACATGCAGGGAAGTGAGAAGAAGGAAACGTGCAGGAAAAGACAAATGGATTTGCTTCTAAGAGCAAGCAAGAGGCTGAAAGGTCAAGAGGCAGCGGACGGCGAAGAACACTACATGCGTCCTGTGGAAGGAGATGAACTGTCTGATTCAGAGAACAGTGGAAATGAGGATCTCTTGCAAAACCCAACAAGTTCTGACATCCCCGGAGAGGCAGAATCCCCCGCTGAAGGTTCACCAGCTGTGACCACGCAGGTGAACCCGACGAGTCCACCCGATCAAAGCGGGCTGCAGGGAGACGAAGCGCCGACGCAGATTCCAACAAACGTACCGACCGAATATGAACTGAGACCCGAGGGTAAGATGTGGAGGCTGCGTTCAAACCGCATAAAAGAAATCCTCGCTCTGATAGAAAAAGACTTCTCTCCCGTCTTCATGCGCAAGAAAGTGGATCTGGAGTTCAACGCAGGGGTCGGGCCCAGGCGATACTTCAACGGCGAGCATTTGACGAACTCTCTCCTCTATAAAATCGCCGGATTTGCTTTGGCGATGAGCTCGTCTCAGAGGGAGTTTATCATGGAGATTCTAGAAAATAGCTTCGACCTAAACCTGCAGAGCAAACACCAGAAATATACGTTTGGGTGTGAAGTTATGAACCGAGTGAGACGACTGAAAAACTGCAAGGATGCGGTCGGACTTTTAAGAGAGGTTTTTGAACTTCCTCTTCCAGTGTCTTCAGTTAATCAGAGCATGAACGACGTCTGTCTTGAACTCGGCGGGGCGTTGAGGATGGAGGAGCCCGAAGCTGCTTCCACGAGCGCCCCGGATTCACACATTGAAACTCAACCTGACTCCCAGAGCAGTGTAGATCTGCATCCGTTCTGCAGGGAGATCGGCCTGAACCTACATGAGTACTCCAGTCGACCAAATCACAAACTTGATGTGAACAAACTGACGAGAGGAGCGATGATCGAGGTGGCGGACTTTGCAGAGCAGCTGTGTGGAACATTTGAGCAGATTTGTCTGGATGTCCTCAAACACAACTTTGATTTTGAGTTGGAAACTACAGATTCCGACCTTTTCAGGAAGATTCTCGCATATTTTCCTGCTTTGGTTGTGCAACGAAACCTAGCGACCAGCATAACCTACGCGAAAACAAAGCCCATAAGAAAAGATCACTCGGTGCTCATGAAGATGCAGCAGCAGGACGCCCCTGATGTAGGACCGTGCAGTTCTGGTTCTGTCAAGGCGAGCAGAGGTCAGAAGGTGAGCATTTCCTCCAACACCAAACAAAAAAATGACCCGAACTCGCTGCTGTGGAAGCTGCGGACCGATCGCATTCAGCAGATCCTGTCGGCTCCTCATGTAGAACGTTGTCCGCTTTATTCCTTCTCCAGATGCAAGAAGTTAGGCATCGACTTCAACGTCGGATCTGGACTCAAACAGAAACTTGATCCAAAGTTGCTGACCAACGGCGTCATGGTGGAACTCAACGTTTTTGCCGAAGCGTTGCAGTCGGCCACCAAAGATTTCATGACGGCCATACTGGAATATAACTTCAACCTGGACCTGAGCGGCGAGCTGCACCGGAGTGCCTTCGCGGTGCATCTGAGGAGACAAGTTGTGACGATGAACGCCAAGAGAGTCAGCGTTCCTCACAAGAAGATGCATTTTGAACTCCCTGATTCCAGCTGCATGGAAGAAGACACTCTGTACTGCCCCAGCTGCTATCGAGACAGAAACTATAAGACTGATAACGTCTCTGCTGATGCACAAAATCCTTCGACTTTCCAAGCAGCAGAGGAGACGTTGCTGAGTTCCTACCGTCACTGCAGGGAGATGGGACTCAGTCTGTGTGTGGACAGAAACCACCCGAAACGTAAGCTCGACTCGAACGTCTTGACGTGGGCAGCTATGAGCGAGGTGTATAACTTCTGCAAAAAACTCAGCGGAACGAAAAACAGGATCGTCAACGAGATCATCGAGCACAACTTCAACCTGCACCTGGAGAGTCACTCGGTGAAGCCCTACGAGTGGTTCAGCAGAGTGGCTGCCGACGGCGGGGAGCTGGCCTGGTTCGACCAAGTTCTTCAGCCACCTTCCCCGAAGTACACTCCGAGAGCGAGTAAAACCAAAGCGCCCCCCGTCGCCGTCGTGCAGATGACCGACCGGAAAGAGCTGTTCAGGCAGAGGCAGCTGGAAATGCAAACGAAGAAGGAAAGAGCAACGATGGAGAGCGAGAAAGCAAACGCCGAGAGGTTGAAGAAGATCGAGGAGAGGAACGAACGACGGTATCCCATCTGCAGGAAAATCGGCCTGGAGCTCGACATGACGAAACAAACGGCGGACAAGCAGAAGCTGCACTTGCGGCACTTGACCAGAAACGTAGTGATGGAGATACACAGCTTCATATTCAGGAAAGGAACGCGACACTTCCAGAGCAACTTGTACGAGATCCTCAACTACAACTTTGATCTGAGCTCGCAGGACCACCGGCGCTGGGAGTTTTCAAACGACATCGCCACCAAAGTGAAAGCCATGATCAAACATCCGAGGAGTCGAAGGTGTCGGGGAGGAAACAGGATCTTCAAGCTGCCGTTTGTGAACAACAAAGCACCCAGAAGCTTCACACAGATTCAGGAGAACAGAAGGTTCTGTTTGGAGGAAGCCCAGAGGAGGGCCGCCGAAAACAACCGAGTGCAGCAAATACTGTGCTTCTCAGACGTCAGCCGCGTCTTTGTTCTCAACGACGTCCAGATTAAAGAGGAGTCCTGGTTCGGCGGTGAAGACGGCGTGACTCAGACGGATCCCGGAACAGCGGCGCCGATGAATGACGGCCGTCTCTATGGAAACCTGCAGATTAAAGAGGAGGAGTTTGACCCACATTATGCACAAGCGATGCAGGGAAACGTCGTCAAAACGGAACCCGCTGCTTCCGCCGCGGACAGCCCAGCTCCTGAAGTAAAAACCGAGGACGTCCAGTATTGCATCCCACCTGCAGCACGAGCGTCTGAAGGTTCTGGCGTCGACCCGCTGCAGCTGGCGGCCTCTCTGGGCTACACCATGGTCACCATCGGCCAGGACACGCTGGTCAAAGAGGAGCCGCAGGAAGAGTCGCAGCATCACGGCGTCGACGCGGAAATCAAACAGGAGCCGTGATGGTCGACCGGAGAGTTTTATACCAAACATCAGGGCAACTCGCTAAAGCTTTGGAGAGAATTATTACACCACCTGCTGTTTTTTGGAGGGGGGGTGGTTTTATACAAAAACACTGAAAATCTTCTGTCATAGCGGTTAATAAATGTTCCATCTTCTAAGAGAAAATAATGTCAGAATAAGTTGATACATGCAATATTTCACGAGCTGTGCTGTTCTGGCTTCACGATGGGAAACGACACCACGTTAGGCATCCGGTCATGTTCACTTTCTGGTGATGGAAAAGCAAAGTTGTGGGTTCAGAACCAGAAAAGATGGAGATGGAGGCGCTCGTAGCTTCAGCATTAACTCACAAAGCATTACACACCACAGTTAGACAACATGTAAAGCTCATGTTCTTCCCTTTTAACTTTTAGTGAGTCGACGGTGAACTTTGTTAAGCTGGTTCTTCTGGTCTGTTTGTAAAAGTTCTCCACTTTTTCTGTCATTTTCTTCATGTTTGTTCTGATCACTGCTGGTTTTGTGTTGTTTTTTTTTTGAAGATGTTTATATATTTTTTCATTCTGATTCTTTTTAACCGCATTGAAGATGACAACTGTGCCCGACAAAGACGATATATATGATCAGTGTGTAAAACCCTGACCTGCTGTGTTGCTCCTCGCTGTTACACTACGTTTTATATAAACTTTTGAAAGCATCTCGTCTCTGTTCGCTTGGTTAATGTGCTGCAGTCATTTCTCAGAGCCGCTTCGGTGCTTTAAGAGTATTTAACGCCGTTTTAACCGACACCAAGGTCAGTGAGGATGTGACTGTTCACTTGTAATACCGAAACCGGGCTGTGGGCGGCGCTGCAGACCTCATAAATGTCATTAATTACTGATTAGAGCAGCTTCTCAGAGGAACTCCTTCATCTCATCAGTCTGTGGAGGGAAAAGGGGAATGATTTTGATAATAAGCTTTATTTTGGAGGTAAAAGTGGTTTATGATGAAATAAACATTGTTGTATTTGAAAATTAAAACGTTATTTAGTTTCCCACTGATTTGTGTGAATGAAGCTGCTGTCAGTTGGATTATTTAAAATCAACCGACTCTAAAAATAGTTCGACCGCCTCAGAGTCAGATGATTTTTTTATGGATGCAGCCAGAAGCTTCGTTCTGAGTCTTTAAATCTGCCTGTTTTTCCTACAGAGTGAATCCTGTCTACAGATGGTTCTGGTAGGTTCTGTGGGTAAAAAACGGTCCTTCCATTGTCTAGAACTTGTTCTGACCAACCACCACTACACACGAGCCTGGAAAGTTTACCCAGAATGCACTTTTTTAAGTTTTCTCTGAAACCAGAAACACATCCAGGGTACCGATGATTGTTTCTATGACTCTGTGTCATTAAACTGCTGCAGTCTGACTGTTACCACTATGAGACATCCCATAATACTACCAGCTGCTGACAAGAGGACATGACCAGAACCCAGGTCCAGTGTTCAGACTGAGACACCTGGATGGATGTAGAACTGATCTGGTGTCAGGTTCTACCAGAACTCAGATGTGTTCTTCCTCCTAAATGTCATGTGTCTATCTGCTGCACTGATGAAGTTCTGAGGCTCAGAAATTGTCCAAAACAACGCATAAAAAGTCCAAAATAACAAACTGATGCTAAAAATCACTTAAAATCTGACTAGAATGACTTAAAAAATGTATAAAAAGGCAAATTATTAACCTAAAATGTGTCCAAAATTATGAAAATATGTCCAACATGAAATGAAGCTTGTCCAGAATAATGTTTAAAAGTCCATCAATATGTAAAATTCTCTCCAGAATTATAAAAAAAAAAAACATTCAACACGTGTCCATTATGATTAAATGCTCAAAAATGACTCAAAATGGTCCAAAATTGCAAAAATAAGTCCAAAATGACTCGAAAATTCTGTATAAATCCGTCCAAAGTCATGAAAAATGTCCATATTTACTTGAAGCTTGTCAAGAAGCCTTAATATTTTAATAAGTCTCTGTAATTAATTAATTACACCAAAGGGGCTTTTATGTGTTACAATCAGATAACGTAGTATTTTATATCATTTTTGTGGGGTTTTAACTCCTAATGTGTAAATTTACCCTGTAGTGTCAATAACACTAAGCTCAGATGATTAAGCTCGTCAGGTTAATTAATTACGCCGATCTTCTTTTATTTTCTTACTACAAAACACTTTGGTGCAGCAGCTATTATTGACCTTAATGATGCTGACTTGACTTCCGTCTGCGGCAGTTGTTGGAGCTTTTATTTTTGTAACTTCCGGAAGTGCGGTCCGTGCCGCCGTGGCTTAGCTTGACTCCAGAGCTCCGGAGCTGGAGACGCCCATCTCCAGCGCACCGCCCCGGCTGCTGGATCGGTTCCTCCCGCTGCCGGAGCCTCAGTGTCCGCCTGGATGTGGATCACCGCCGCTGTTCTACCGCAACAGGTAAATCAATAAGAGCCGCCGTCACAGCTTTTAGAGGACATGAGGGAATATGACACAGGCTGGATGAACATGTTGGGTTTTTCTCCTGTACCTGCCGGTTCAAGGTAAGCGGGATGTTGTGCTTCATTAAATGAAGGCGGTGCAGCGTCCAGCAGCCAGGATTCATTACCGCAGTACAGCTGCTCCATTCTCTGCCTCTACATGCATCTGAAGCCGGACTGAGAAGCTTCACTGGAGCCTTTTGTCTGCTTCCACACCGACAGCTCCGCATCTGGCTGCAAATAAATACCCACAAATCTTATAAATCCGCTTTAAAATGCATCTAACCTGAAAATCTAACTTACATTTAAGGACAAATTGAATTGTAAGTAACCAGATCCAGATAACACACTGACAGTGACTCCCTCAGATGGAGCTGCAGTGATTAATTGACTAATTTTTTAACTATTTTGGGTAATTAATTGGTGGATTTGAGTAAATTCGTGAGAAATAAAGCAGCTAAACTTCAGTATTCAGAGCAGAGCTTTGTTTGTTTGTAGTACAAGTCTGTATGATGTCATGGTGCTGGAACACAAGAGGGTTTTTTCTTTAACATTAATTTAATTTTACATGACATTGGCTTTATAGATCAGTCAAACTGCAATGATTAAATGATTAGTTGTCAACTTACACATTAATCGCTGCCTATTTTGATAATTTTTTACTCTAAATGATCTGATTACAGCTTCCTAAATGTGAATATATTCTAGCTTTTCCCTTCTATAACTGAATATCTTTGGACAAAACAAGATATTTGTCATCTTTGGGAAACGCTGATGGACTTTTTTCACCATTTTCAGCTAAAACATTAATGTTAAAATATCACAGCTGAGATGATTAATCGGTTAGTTTCAACTTTTAAATTAAATGTCACCTATTTTGTTCGGCAATCGATCAGTTTGAGTGTTTTTTTAAACTAAAAACAGCATAAATTCTGTGATTGCAGCTTATTCAATGTGAATATTTTCTGCTTTCGTTCCTCCTCTACGACAGTAAACTGAAGATCTGAGGACAAAACAAGACATTTGAGGAAACGCTGATCCAGATTTTTCACCTTTTCTTAGATTAAACTGGGATTAATGTTAAAATAACGCAGGTTTATCAGCATCCGTTACAGGTCGGGTCTATTCAGAGTCTTGGAGAACCACAAGGCACAAACACGGATCCTCTACAATTTGAAGGACCCATTTAAAAGTGAAAAAAAACATTTCTGAGTGATTTTTTTAAACCAAAAACACTCTAAATTCTCTGATTTTTGCATCTTAAATGTGAATATTTCCAGGTTCTTCCCTCCTCTGTGACAATAAACTGACAAACTTTGGACAAAACAAGATATTCGAGGAAACACTTTTTGCCATTTTTCACTATTTTCGAACATTTTATAGCCCAAAGAGCTGATTTAGAAAGTAATTCACAGATTATTTGACAATGGGAATATTCTTTTGTTGCAGCCCTTCTGCTGGCTGGAACTTATTTTGGATTAAAGGTTTATCTGTTGATGGTTTTCGCTGATAACTGACGGAATGAAATGAGGGGAAAAAAAACGTCCATCACAAGTTCCCAAAGCTGACGATGATGTCTTTATGTAGCTTTCTGAGTCCAAAACACAATAATGTACCATTTATTCATCAGTGAAACATCAAATATTCACATTTGAATGTCTGGAAGCCGAGAGATTTGGCAGCTAATGAATAATCCAGAATATAATTAAAAAGTAAACTTAAGTCGCGACTCAAATCTCAGACAGTCGCTGTGAATATGTTTCTGAGCAATTTAGTTTTTGAGAAATTGCCTTAACCCAAGACGGACACAAACAAACAACAGGCAGCGACACACCTATTCCCAGAGGTGAACTCAGAGACGCTGAGTGACGGGAGAAACCACTCCATCGATATGATATTTCTGGAGCTCCCGGAGGAATTCTGGTGAGAGTCTCTGGTTGCGTTGCTCACTGTTGTTGTCTAGATGGTTAATTTACACCGAGGCATGAGTACAACTCAGAAACCCACGACTCCAGACAGCATCACCAACAGTCAGCAGATTACTTTTCTCTGGTGTCAAATTAAAAACTAACAGTTTAGATTTAATACATTCAAGCTTCAGGCTCCACAGAAGGAACTCAAAGCAACAAGCAGCAGTAATGAGACTCT